TCATTTCAGAAGTATTGGTTCACTGATTTATACTAATAGTCTAAATTTTGACACATTTCATTTTATATCACAAATGAGCATGGGATTTTTTACTTCTGTATAATTTTGTAACATTGCATTTGGTCATTTCGGAAGTATTGGTTCACTGATTTATACTAATAGTCTAAATGTTGACACATTCCATTTTATATCACAAAATAACATGTGTTAATATCAACATTAATGTCATCAGAAAAGTATTACATATTGAGAAGCTACCAAGCTCACAGCAGCAGATAAAAGTTTTCCAAAATTTTGCTTTTGACTTGAAAACTAGATTGCTGTCATTAGCAACAAATATGAGAAATACTGTCAGTTGCTTTCCTTGAAGTGAGTCTTGGTTCATTCATGACTTGAGAAAATGTCTTCCAAAAATCCGAATTCAGATAATTCTATCAAGTAAAAATAGTGTTTGAGTAGAAACAGAAAGAAGATGGATCCAGTTCACCTTGCAACTTAGTCACACAAGTGGTTTCCCTTGACAAGCCTCACACCTTCATACACAGCAGAGGGTTTTATGTGTCCCTTTTCTCTGATAAAACAGAAAATGTAAAAGAAAAGACATGTATTTGAGCACACGGACATGCTCAGTTGCTCAGTTGTGTCCAACTCTTGGAGACCCCGTGGACTACAACCTGCCGGGCTCCTCTGTCCATGGGATTCTCCAGGCAAGAATACTGGAGTAGGCTGCCATTCCCTTCTCCAGAGGATCTTCCACCCAAGGATCGAATACACATTTCCTGCATTGGCAGGCAGATTCTTTACAACTGAGCGACCTGGGAGGCCTATGTGTATTCGATACTCAGGGCTTAATCAAATTAATCATTTTACTGCTTCATCTTGAGTGAAACTGGCTTTTTAAAAAACTATATGTGGTGTTCCCTGCATTTGTACTAAAGCAATTGTATCAACCATTGCTGTTAGACCATCAGTGCAAATGTCAACAAAGTAAAAAGGAGAGATGAAGTGTTGGCGTTCTTATCAAAATACCTCTGGTCTGGGACATCCCTGGTGGCCCAGTGGTTGAGAGTCCACCTTCCAATGCAGGGGATGTGGGTCCCATCCCTGCTCAAGAAACTGAGATCCCCCATGACAGGGATTGCTGATCTCACTATGGCAAATGGAGAGCCCAGGCTCTGCAACAAGAGAAGCCTACACACTGCAACTAGAGAAGCCCCCGTGTGCCTCAATGAAGACCCAGCACAGCCAAAAATAATAATTAAAAATAAGCATAAGATAAAGACCCAGTCTTACTGAAAAAAAAAAAGTTCTAGTCTTTTGGATTTCATCTGTGAGGATCTCAGGGTCCCCCAGAGCCCAGATTATACCTTGACAACCAGGGCTGTGGACAAGCATATTACCACCATCCCTTTACCTCCACCCCAGCTGTCTAGACAAAGGGGAGCTTTGTTGAAGACAGAGACCCCCTTAAACCCATGAGGGCAATGAGGGCTTTGTTTTAGTGTGGGGCTTTGCTAGATAAGCATATGTGAACCAAGCTTGCTATCCAGCTGGCTTGAAGGCTTCCCAGCCTTTTCTCTCTTTTTTATGTGACTTGAAACTTTTAATGTCACATTTATAGTTGGCTTGACTGCCCCAAACAAAGCGCTGCAAACTTTCCACATCAATTGGGCATAGTGACAGTTGGTGTTTTCATTTTAGATCCTAAAGAAAAAGCAGCTTGTGTTCTGGTCCCGCTCCATGAATACAGCACCGTTCCTCAAGTTCACTTTCCATGTGTGAGAAAAACCTCTTTTGACATTTCTCCCGTTTTCAACGATCTCTCAAGACAAATTGTTAGTCTCTAAGGACACTTGTCGTCCGCCACCAAGTATCCAGTTCAAACATTGCATCCTTGTCGCCTTTGTCAAGGTCTGCACTTTGTCTGTCAGGGTTCTTTTCTTCTTCTTCTTCTTCACTTTTCTCCTTCTGGAGGTAGAAACCAGGCAGTGAGAGGATGACGGGTTCTAAAAGGTCATTTTTGAATGAAGAATTGTCTGTGTGCACTTTTTTCCCCAGAGTGCCGTGTTTCGTGTGTTTTAGTCAAGAGAGCGCTCCTGCTGAACAGACTTGTCTGAAAGTTCCATTTTCTTTACCACTCAGCTTCTCGGCTTTTACATATGAATCCCCTGAATCAATAATAAACTGTGGCAGGAAAAAAAAAGAAAAACAAAAAATGTAGGTCTCTTTCGCACCTTTTAACTCTCCAGAAAGGCAGGGCAAGCCACGTTAGAGGTAAAGCTCACATCTTCTCTGCTGTCTCTTTTCTTTATTAGGAAATGATTTTCAATGTAGTTTATACAGGGTGCCATTAAGGCTAATTTTCTTTTTCCTAAAAGGGGAAGTTAAGTAAATAAGATAAAGGAAAAAAATAACCCAGAACATGGATTGGGTTCCAAGGAATGTTATCAGCATCTTAATTGTCAAGAATTTTCAGTTGCGTGTGTGACTGATTATTTAAACCAAGCACTGCGCATACTCGATACAGTGTGAGTCTGGCTGTATTTTTTGGGTCACCATTGTGCGCAGACGTTGGTTTAAATGATCAGTGATGCAAGAAACCCTGTTGACTATCTCTTCATACATGGCTTTGAGAGGTGGACAAAGTTCTATTACTTCAAGAACCAACCCTCTAAGAAATTTCTGTATTTAACTCTTTAGACTGACGCATGCTCCACGGGAGAAAGCCATTGTTTCATCCACGTCTTTCACTTTTCTGTCCTTTCGTGCTCCTATCGGTTTTCTCATGATTTAAACCAAATGCCCAGAAACCCACCAGTCACGGCAGAACAATTGCGTGCTTTCAGTGTTCAGCAGGCACCGCAATCACTGAAATAACCCCAAGTTATTACCAAACAGAAAACAAACAAAAAAAAAAACCCACATGCCCAACTGTGCGTATTGACTTTCTCAAGCCACGGGATCAATCGGAGGTAGTTAGCTGGTTGCTCCGCAGATAATGTGGTCAGGACTGCCTTGCTGCAGACACTGGATTTTTGTTTGAAAGCCTACTTCTTATTGAGTCTTTCTCTCTCTCTCTCCCCACCTCTCTCCTTCCCTCCCAAGGAATAATTACAGGCTGCAGAGTCAAAAGCATTAGAACTGTTTACAAAACAGCTCATAAAGTTTAAAATAATGGGGGCGTGTGTGTTTGTGTAAAACACAATAATGTGTATGGCAGGGGGAAACAGTATACCCTTCTTTCTTCTGTCACTGGCCCGTGTCACCCTCCAGAATTTAAGACATGGAAGTGAGCAACGGAGTTCCTTTTCTTCTGGTTCCTCACACTTCATTCGTGATTAGTATTTATCTAATGACAGTTGATTGTTGAGGATCAAAATACAGACCCTCAGAAGTGTGGGGAGACAGTGGATGCTGGAACCAGCTGCTATCTAATTAATTTTAGGGCAGTTGAAATTCCCATACAGATGCTCCCTCATGACATTCAAGAGAAAGATGCTGTTTTTGTTTTTTTTAATGAGCCCTTTGCTATCTTTCAGAAGTCCTAAAGAACAGCATCCATCAGGTTAGTGTTCTAAAGTGAAAGGGGCATTTTTCCAACCCTTTCTGAAGTCTCCTCCTGTGCAGACTTACAAAGATTTTGCAACGCTCCCCTTCAGATTTTATTTATTATTTTTTTAAGGTGAAAGAGTCACCTCCAGCCTCAGAGCCCATCAATCATTTTGCTTTGCAGGTTGAGACCTGCTGCGGCAAAGCCAAACCTCGGTGCTGGCGGCACTGCACGGGGTCTGGACAGTAGAGAGGCTGGTGCTGACAGTCAGAGGAGGGCTCTGTCCCCTTCGGCACTGATGCACTGGGGATGCAGGCTGGACCGAGGACAAGCCCAGTCCGGAGGAAGCACCTCTTCCCCTGGTGATTGATGGAGGACAGTTAGGAGCTTTTCGGAGGCTGGGAAAGGTTGCCCTCCCAGCCACTTACTCTGAAGTCTTTGTCAGCAGAAAGAACTCTCCTGGGTAGTGAGTGACATCATGCAGATGACAAATGACAGCTTTGCGTTTCGTTCTGCTTGATGAGTACTCAATATCGCATGCAGGTGAGTTAACGCTTCCCAGAGGCAAACACTCCAGGGCACTGTGGTTTCACGGGCACTGCTGGCTCTTCCTCATCAGTCGTTCATTTTCTTTGGGGATGTTTAAAGTATTAATGCTACTAAAACATGATCAGGGATGATACCCAGATCACTGTGTTTATGACTATGCAATGAAGATATTATTCAAGTCATGTGTTAAGCAGTTCTGAATGTTGTTTCCTTCTGTTTCTTCCTTTTGCAGTACAGATTTTAAATTATATATGTATATATTATAATATACATTGTATATTATATTTACACATAAATATAATTAATATAAATACTATAAAATATATAGTGAGTAAATAATGTATATACACACACACATATATATACATTTATGTTGTTTCAAGAGACTGTTTCAGACCAAAAATCTGTATCAGAATCTCTGATTGACATTTCCTTTGTATTTTTTTCTCTGCATTCCAGGACCCCCTCTGCAGATGTCCTGAACATTTCTGACTACAGCAATTGATTCTTCAACTGAGATACCTAATTCCAGGTATTAGCTCTTGTCAGAAAGCTTTTACATCCAAGCTCTGTGCTGGAAATTCTATTTTGGCAATGAATTTTGAAATTGGGAAAGTTGGAATGAGAATAAAGGACAAAAGTGAATTTGCAAAATAATCAAGCGCTTAAAAAAAAAAAAGAAACCCTACGCTGGGAGGGTTTGCTGCTTCTGACTCACGGGCAGCCCTTTCTCTGCCAGTTTATGTGCCAGTTCTCACTGAGTTGTAGTCCTTTTTTTGCAACCGTGTTCAGGGTTTGGATTTCATTTTCGTCTCTCCCTCTCCCCTTTCTCTGACTGCCCAGACCTGCAGGAATCAGTAGACAGACATTTTCTCAGTTTTGCGACATTGGAGCAAGCACAATGAAGTATTCTTGCTGCACTCTGGTTTTGGCTGTCCTGGGCACGCAGCTGCTGGGGAGCCTCAGTTCCAGCATCAGGTCCCCAAGATTCAGAGGACGGATACAGCAGGAGCGAAAAAACATACGACCCAACATCATTCTTGTGCTCACCGATGATCAAGACGTGGAGCTGGGTGAGACACTGACTTTTTCACTTGTTCGTCCCTTTTGCTCAAATGATTGACTGACCGCCTGATATACTTGCATTGATGGTAAAGCATCTGGTTTGTGTTTCGACATGACTTTTTTGGTCTTAAGTTTTTGAAGCAATGTCGGGGAGGGGTATGAGAATGGGGGTGGTGAGAGGAAACACAAAACTATAAAAGTCAAGGATTGGATTGTGCACCTTGGAAACTCTTGGTCAAGAGCATTTTAAAATATTTGGGCAAAATTGTTTCAAAGAACATGAGAGTATGACTGTAATTCCCTGCAGTGCGTATGAACAAAGGTAGATACACAAGGAACTTCCAATTGTCATTATTATTAAGGTAAATCCTTTATTCACAGCTTGTAATTTTTAGGAAATTAAAAGTTACAGCATGCTGCATATCTTCTGTTGCAGATCACTGCTACCCACCTTAGACAGGATGCTTTTCGGAAGAATTCACTCACCTGGGTTAATTCTGGAGTGCTTGGAAAGCCTGCCAACATCCAGTGTTTCAGCTTAGCTTCTAATCTTCTGGTTGGGTTTCTCACCCTTTCATCTTCTTTCATGGCCCAGCCCTATGGTCTTGCCCATAAGCTTAGGATCAAGTTCTTGTATGGTACCTAAGACAGATGAAAAGTTTGCCCTTACAAGTTGTCACCAGCACTCCTTTCCATCCCTGAACCAAATTCCTTGCTCTCAAGCTATCACACTGAACTTGACCATCTCTAGTCTTGCGCTTCATGCTGGCAGAATACCTTGGGCTTCTCTCCAGATCTCCTCTGGCTAGGTTCCTTGAGGATTAAACCCCTGTAGGCTGGAAGTTGATCCACAGGGATGGGGACCTTGTTTTCCAGTTTGAAACCAAACTATGGAATCTCAACACAGTTAACTCTTTGGATTCAGCTAGAAACAAAAGCACTGAAAGCCCCGTGGAGGTAATAATTGTTGGAGGTGATTTGCAGTCTGTTGTCTCTCACTTAATTGTTTAAGGCAACACGTCAAAATGAAAAATCTTGGAGGTGTGTATGTGGCTGGTGGTTTAAGTTTTCATTCACCTCTAGCACAGGTAAAGTGAAGACATTTGAATTCACCTTTCTTAACATCTCTCATACCCATCCCTTTCACTGAAGCCATTCTCTGCTCTCCTAGTTTTTCCTAACTGGTTGATCTCCTGACGGTACCTGTCCCTTCTAGTCTTAGCCCCTCTTGCCTATTCTTCATTTCATGCAAGTATCTGATTGGGTCTCTGCTGCTAAAACCCTCCAAGATATTCCTTGCCAAGAGGATTAAACCCCTCCTCTCTCCAGGCTGATGAGCTCTGGGCATCTGCCCCCTACTTATCTCACTAAGACTATTTTCCTTTCCCCCAATTTTGCCCTGTGCTTCATGGAAACAACTAGTTGTTTGAAGCTGTCTCGTGGTTTCGTCTCCCTCACCTATATTTCATGCCTTTACACATCTCATCCCCTCTGCTCTTTCTACCTTTTTCCACCTAGAGAAACCCTACCTATTTTTCATGACCCAGTTCAGTGCCTTGCCCTCAGGGATCCTCCTTCACCAAAACCATCCTGTCCTCCAGCACGGTGGATGGAATTTTGTACCATCTTGGACCTGCCTCCAGCAGGACCCTTAATCCACCATGTGCTTCCATACCTGTCTCTTCCACTTGATTGAGAGCAACTAGAGGATAGGGTGTGTGTGTGTGTGTGTGTATGTATGTATGTTAATCACTCAGTCGTGTCCGACTCTTTGTGACTCGTGGACTGTAGCCCACCAGGTTCCTCTATTCATGAAATTCTATAGACAAGAATACTGGAATGGGTTGCCACTCCTTCTCCAGGGGATCTTCCCAACCCAGGGTTCAAACTCACATATTCTACCACTTCCTGCATTGGCAGGAGGATTCTTTATTACTGAACCACCAGAAAAGCCAAATATTTATTAAGCAATTACTAAATACCGTCTTCTAGTGGAAGCACATGAATATAATGGTAAAGAGTTGGTGGCCAACTGTTTCCTACATGTTTGTCTTTACTTCTTTCCTTGATTTTCCTCCCAGACACCAGGCTCAGCATTCACTCATTTAATTTTCACAGTCAGTCTATGTCGTAGTTACTACTACTCTATTCAAATTATCCTTAGACAAATGAAGCTTAGAAGATTTGCATAGGTTCTGATGAGCTAGGAAATGGTGAACCCAGGACCTATATTAGGTCCGAATCTTCACAGCTACACATGTAACCATGATTCCTTCCATCAGTCCATCCTTCAACAAATATTTATTGAGCCCTTCCTAAAATAACCTGTAAATGTTATTTACATTATCCTAAGTTCTGAGATAATGACAAGATGGGTCTTATTATCCCATTGACAGAGCAAGTTGATGATGAACCAGAGTGAACAATGGGTAAAAATTTAGAGAAGACCAACTGCCTTTCTCAGCAGAAAAATTATGTTCTGAGTGGTGGGTACAGTTTCATGGAGACTTTTGCCTGGCCGATTGTAATGTCCTCATAATCTCTGAAATTTTCTGCTCTAGTCTTTAGTTAACTTTTGAGTTTTGGTATTGTTGTTGTTTTTTTTAATCATCTTAACCATTTTCAAGTGTACAGTTTGTGTTAAGTACATTCACATTTGAAAATCTCCAAAAACTCTTTTCATCCTATAAAATTAAAGCTCTATATCCATTAAACAGTAACTCCCTAGCTCCCAGCTCTTGGCATTTGCTATTCTACTTTCTGTCTCTATGAATTTGACTGCTCTGAGTATTTCATATATGTGGAATCATACAGTTTCATACAGTACTTGTTTTTTTGTGACTGGCTTATTTCACTCCAATATTCTTGCCTGGAAAATCCCATGGACAGACGAAGCTGGTAGGCTACAGTCCATGGGGTTGCAAGGAGCCGGACACAACTGAGTGACTTCACTTTCACTTTATTTCACTTAGCATAAAGTCCTTGTTCACTGTTTACCTATGTTATAGCATGTCTCAGAATTTCCTTCCTTTTGAAGGTTAAATAATATTCCATTATATGTATATCCACCCTTCGTTTATCCATTTACCTCTTGTTAGACATTAGTGTTGCTTCTGCTTTTCTTTTATTGTGAATAACACTACAGTGAACATAGGTGTATAAATATCTCTTTGAGACTCTGCTTTCAATTCTTTGGGGTATATACCCAGAAATAGGATTACTGGATCATTAGATAATTCTATTTTTAATTTTTTGAGGAACCACAGTACTGTTTTCATAGCAACTGCACCATTATCCATTCCCACCAGCAGTGCATAAGGGTTCCAGTTTCTCTACATTCTTGCCAACATTTGTTATTTGCTGAATTTTTTATAATAACCATCTTAATGGGTGTGAGATAGTCTCTCATTGTGGTTTTGATATGGTTTCATTTGTTTTGGTTTTTTGCTTACATGTGATTTTGTTTGCCAAATATTGAACAAACCTTCACCTAAAAAAGCAAAATTTTTGTGCCTGTAATTCTGCAAGCATTTTGGCTTCTGTGCCTCCAGAAGGATATCAAACTTAGAAAAAGCTTAGGAAAACAATTCCAAAATTTGTAATCAAATACTTTTCCTTTTGAGAAATTAAAAATGAAACAATTCTATCTTTTTGTCTGAAAAGACAAGACTAAGAAGGATGGTAATCCAAGTTTATGAAATCAAGCTGGGACGAAAAGCTCTTCCTCAGTAGGAATGGGGGACACTCCCTTAACTTTGGGGACAAATAAAATAAACGTACTTTGTGAAGGGGGTGAGGCACAGAAGGAATTTATTAATAAAAGTGCTAGCCCCTGATATGTGAATAACACTTTATCTTTTCCTAAGAACATTTATTCTCATTATTGCATTTTATTGTCATTCCATCCAAGTTGGGTGGGTAGTTCAAAGATCATTATCCCAGAAGAAAACTTAGTCCATGGAAGGATTAAGTAATTTAACCAATGGTCCCCATGCTTCTGGATTTGTTTTTTCCACTACTTGGGAAGTGGTTTTCAGGTTATGCCTCTATCTGTAAATAGTTCGGGCTTTTAGGCAAAGCTAATGGGTATTTTAAAGATATAAATCTTTAAAAAAAAAAACTGAAGTATAGTTGATTTACAGTGTTCTGTTCATTTCAGGCATACAGCAAAGTGAGTTATACATACAAAAATACCTATTTTTTTTCAGACTCTTTTCCCTTGTAGGTTATTACAAAATGTCCAGTATAGTTCCCTATGCTGTACAGTAGGTTCTTGTTGATCATCTATTTTATATATACTAGTATGTGTATGTCAATCCCAACACCTAATTTGTCCCTCCCCCAGCTTTCTGCTTTGATAACCATAAGTTTGTTTTCTATGTCTGTGAGTTTTGTATATAAGTTCCTGTGCATCATTTTTTTTTTAGGTTCCACATATAAGCTATATCATATATTAGTTGTCTGATTTATATCACTTAGGATGACAATCTCTAGATCCATCCATTTTGCTGCAAATGGCATTATTTCATTCTTTTCTATGGCTGAATAACATTCCATCATATATATACATGGGGTGTATCTCTTTAAACATTTAAACCCTATCTCTTTAAACATTCATCTGTCGATGGACATTTAGGTTCCTTCCTCCATATCTTGGCTACTATAAATAGTGCTGCTATGGATATTGGAGTGCATGTATCTTTTTGAATTATGGTTTTATTTTTTAAGCTAAAAAAAAACACAAATATGATTAAAAGAGTTTGGGATGATGGCTATCATCCAGGAAAAGAATGGTAACCAAGAACATCAGCAGTATCCATGTTTTATTATGAAATTTTAAAAACAGATCTGAAAAAAAATAAAAATATATCTCAAGCAACTATGAGCAAATGTTAAGTTTTAAAAAAGCTAAAAGACACATTATTTATTCTATTTTTCCCTCACTTGAAATATTTACAAGTCAAAAAGAAGAAAATCAAAAATGCTTGTGGGACTCCCCTAAGTTTCT